GTAGTGTCTTTGCCTGGTTTTGGTATCAGGGTGATGGATACCATAGATTTTGTAAGATTGTCATAGTCTTGGGGTATTTTCTAATTTCCTCTTTGATTTCATATTTGGCACATTGGTTTCTTGGTAGCATGCTATTTAGTTTCCATGTAATCATCACCACCCATCCCCCCATTTCTCTTTCTGTTGTTGATTTCTGGTTTCACACTGTTGCAGTCAGAAAAGATGTTTGAAATAATTTCTATCCTCTTAAATTTGTTGAGGCTTGTTTTGTGACCTAGTATGTGGTCTAACCTAGAAAATGTTCTATGCACATTTAAAGGAAAGTTTATTCTGTTTTTGTTTGTTTTTAGATGTAGTATCTTGTTGATATCAATTATGTGATATCATGTTTTCTATTTTGTCATTTTTCTGTTTTTCTATTATGTCATTTTAGGGTCTCTGTTGCCTTATTGATTTTTCTATCTTGAAGACCTGTCCATTGACATCAGTGGGATGTTAAAGTATTCTACTATGATTGTTTCCCTGTCAATTTTCTCCCTTTACATTTGTCATTATTTGTTTTATATGTTTAGGTGTTTCTATATTGGTGCATATAAGTTAATGTATATAACATCCTCTTCTTATATCGATCCCTTTATCATTACATAGTGTCCTTCTTTGTGTTTCTTTATAAACTTTGTTTTAAAGTCTATTTTGCTTGATATGAATATTTCTACTCTTTCTTTCTTGTCCTTTCCATTTACATGGAATATTTTTCCACCCTTTCACTTTTAATCTATGTGTGTCTTTTACTCTAAAGTGAGTCTCTTGTCAGTAGCATATTGTGGTTCTTTTTTAAAAAATCCAATTAGCCACTGTATGTCTTTTGATTGAAACAGTTATTCCATTGACATTAAAAGTATATATTTATTGCTGTTTTAAACCTTGTTTTCCAGTTGATTTTGTAGTTCTTCTTTATTCCTTTCTTCTTCTTTTTGCTTTTCCTTCCGTGATTTAATGATTTTCTTTTGTATTATGCTTGAGTTCCTTACTTTTTCTTTTTTTGTGAATCTACTGTGTCTTTTTGATTTGTGGTTCCCCTGGTTTTCAAGTATGTTAAACAATAACACTACTCACTTTAGATTGATAGTCATAGAAGTTCAAACACATTCTAAAGGATATAATTTTTTATCCCTTACCCTATATTTTGTGATTTTGAAATCATATTTTATATCTTCATATTTATGCTTTTGCTCTTTAATTGTAGATATAATCACTTTTACAATTTTTTATTGCTCTTTAATCTGTATACTGGCTTATTGAAATGCTCTTCAATCTTTTTATATATTTTCCTTTTCTATTGTGTTTTTCTATTTAAAGAAGAGTTTTCAATATTTCTTTTTGGTTAGGTTTAGTA